CACCAGGTTGGCAGCGCAGTGCGCCAACCACTACGCTACTTTACCAGACTCAAAGCAGCTTCACTTCTAAGGTTCGATAAGGTCAGGTAAATGTATGGTCATTTGGTCATAGGCAATAATGATTTTGGTGATGACATTTTGTAAATGTGTATATAAAAAGAACATGAATCATCCTGGATTAATAACATGTCGAGTGCATAGTCATTATACTGTTTACATATGCACAATGTATTATCTGTAATAATTGTGTTTGTTTACCCAAAATAATCCTCTCTGAATGTTGAGACTCATTTTGTTTATGCGCTCATATCATGCAAATAGAGAAAAAAATGCAACCAAAACATTATGGAACCACAACATTCGTTTATTGTAAATGTACCAAGCAGCAGTTGATTATAACTTAACAAATAAAAAAAAATGTTAAGATAAATGCCCATGAGAACATAGGAACGACAGGAGTTTTAATTAATAACATCTAAAGAATAAAAAATCATGGGACAAAATTTGGGCCAAGTGAGATGATAAAAAAAGACCAATTTGGAATTGTTGTGTCATTTAACCAGCCTGGAGAGCTTACAGACCTAGCTAATTACAGACTTTTTGTGCAATTTTATCTTGAGACATTATTGAGTTATTCGCCATCGAATTTGCCAATTTTCTAAGGACAGACTCACCCCCCCCCACCCAAGCTTTTATATGCACAGCCAGTCCCGCGTCTGTTGAAGCCAGCGTGATGAATCTCAAATAAGTTTATTTCGTCAATACGTTTGTTTTTTAATCACACGTTGCAGCATAAACTACACCGCACGTTAACAAAAACTAACATAAAATATACGTATTAAAAACAAACCACCACCAACAACAACAACAAGACTTTCCAAAAAACTCGCCCAAAAATATCTCCAGCAAGGGAGATGATTTTATTTTCTCTCCCATTTACATTGATAATTATAATTGACCTCTATATTCCATCGCTCAACCACAAATCTGCCAGCACAGTCGCAGCTCTGCCAGATGCCTTGAGTGCCATGGGCTCGCACACTGCCCTTCGCTTCCAATACTGCATGCATGCATGCTGCTCGTGGTCCAGATTTCATATTGGCCAGATTAATGGCCAAGCCAGTCCTCAACCGCTCTGTGTTAAGACTGGAGGAGTATGTCATTGCTACTGACAGCCTCCTTTTGGTCCAAAGCCACATGTGTGCAAGCTAAATGAAAATACCATTCCATACAGCATTCATCATACATATTCTATGCTGTATATAAAACATCGTACAATATTACATTGTACAAACTTGGAAATAATGAGTGTGAATACCGATTTATATTACATTGTACAAACTTGGAAATAATGAGTGTGAATACCGATTTAAAGCTTCCGTGACTGCAGGGATTCATATTCTTTATTTCATTATTTCCCTTCTACGTGACTTTACCGAAAGAACCAAGAATATGAAGTGTGAATACCATTCTTGTGAATTTTAAAACATACACCGCCTTCCAATAATCCGGTCAAGGGGGAAAAACATCACAATATAAGTAAAGCGTAATTGTACAATTTAAATGAAGCATTGTGTACGTGAATCAATATCCCCTTAAAATTGGAAGAAATAAAATCATTGGAAATTGTGTCAAGTACTCGCCTTGCCATAATGACACTGTGGCATTGTGTCAACTTGTCTTATATTCGGCATAGAACAAATGTATTGACGCCAAACTTTGAATACAGGGCAGAAATGGCAGGGGGTAAGGGATGACAAACGACACGTTAGTCTAATACTGTCGTAACATTTTACAGTCCTTTTTCTTAAACCACTGCTGGATGAGGGCCTCCCTATGCTGCATGGGGATTGTGGGAATTATTCGACCGTAATTTACCAATTTGGTCAGGCACGTAGATGCACAGTACAAACGTGGAGTTTTGCTGCACTGCCCTCTGCGCTCTCCACCTGCACATACGTCTTTTATGCATGGTGGCTCAACACTGCTTGGCTTCCCAGATCGGGCCCATTCCGGGTGATTTGATCACAGGCTATGAACACGATAAAATAGTTCGTACTTTGCAAAAAATGTACCGTAATAATTTTTATTAGAAAAATGTATTTAAGATCGGCGGCACTCTGCTTGGAGCACTTGGATGATGATATGACGTTTGCGAGTTCAATGCCCGACCGGTAAACAACTCAAACCCTAATTTCTCAGGAGGGTGGGTAAAACGAGTACTACTTTGTATGACTTCAAGAGTTGTACGCCTATGCAATTTCTGCAGCTGGATTGAAAAAAACAAGATGAGATCACTGCCCTCGTGCTCGTTTTATTTTAATTTGCATATGCAAACAAGATATGGGTACAGCTGCGATCTGTTTTTACGTTGTACGATCTGGTGTTCGGCACGATGCCCGGCGTTTCGCTCCATACGCTGCTTCAGGAACTGAAGAAAGCTGACGAAGCTCCCAGCACGTGGAGCGAAAGATCCGACATCATCGCCCGACAAACACGCGGTCCGAACCGAAAACACACGATGGAGACCTACAAAGTGCAATCGGTGGGAGGGGGGGGGAAATTCACAGTAGTAACGCACAGTACCCATTCTCGCCTGCACGTACGTACGCACCACATTCTACGACGAGACACACGGAAGGGCCTCGCGGGAAATGCAAACACGCAAAAACTTCAAATCGTCCATCTTAAAAGTGTGGCGGGCAAGACGCACGTGCGGCTGACGTCACGTGGTAGAGCCCCCTTTTCAGGGGACCAGAGAGCCGCGGCCGTGGACGCCGCGAGGAGCTAAGCTCCGATCCTTAAAAACATCGCCGGCGCAGACGGCACGAAAAAATCACAGCCGTGTGGGATGCCTCGCGGATGACGAGCCGAACTGGAACATAACAAAAACAACAACAAAAAATCATAATGACGACTCTGTCCCCCGAAAACACACGCTTGCGTCAGCACCGAAACGCAATCGCCCAAAAGGCTTGTTAATCTGGGGTGGCAACGCTCTTGATGTACCGTTTAATTCAAGTGGCAGCTCACTGTAACAACACAAAATACTTATTTGAATGGAGCAATTATTTACTTTCACTTTTCCTCTTCTGGATATTGTTTTCTTTAAATTGTATCGAGTCAATTTCGTTGCCAGTGTTTATTGCAAACGCAGCACTTTTTTTTTTAAACGACACACTTCTCGCACGTACCACTCTGCAGACAATTTACCCTGAATGTGCCTCATCTCACTCGATCTCAGAAGCTAAGTAGGTCTGAGCCTGGTTAGTATTTGTGCAGGATGCTGTCTAAGAATACCAAGTGGTGTGAGCTTGAGCTATGAGGTGTCCAGAAGATGGCAGAAGGGCAATGGATTCTTAAATATATACGTGCGGAGCGGTGTCATTGTCCCATGTACGCAAATATTCTGTGTACTCCGGTTCCTAAAATTGACCAAAAATCTCAAAACAGGACCATCTTGAAAAGGAGCATTAATACTCAGTGAGGCTTCAATGAATAAATGGCATTATTATACACTGTGCAACAAAAAAAATGTTTGTTCCTGGGTAGTAAGTGTTATTTCTAATTGCTATTTTCAATGAGAAAACGTGTGCATTTGTGTCATTCCTTCACGTAAAGTCCTGGTCACAAAAGCAAAGTTTGTGGGGAATAATAGTAATTTTCTATACTTTTGAGGCATAAACAATTAGAAATAACACTTACTACCCAGGAACCAAAATCATGTTTCGAGTTAAAGCTTTCGTGACTGCAGGGATTCATCTTCTTGGTTCTTTCGGTAAAGTCACGTAGAAGGGAAATAATAAAGTAATATTGTTATTTTATTATTTCCCTTCTACGTGACTTTACCAAGAGAACCAAGAATAAATTCCTCTTGATATGCAAATTATTTTGTCAAGGTGCTCTTCCCCCCCCTCCATCCCAGCTTAATTAAATAGACGCTCCAAGCCTGGAGTGTGTCATTCAGACTCTGTCTTCTCGACAGACCTGTTCTTCACCTGAGGATGGCTGCTTGCGTTGTGGCCGAAACGTCGTGAGAATTATTTTAGGTTTTATTTTTATTATTTTATTATTTCCATTCTACGTGACTTTACCGAAAGAACCAAGAAGAAAAAAAACCATGTTACATGGTGTCATCACTGAAGCCTGGCGAGGCAGAGGAGAGCTCTGCACTAGGCTTATGCGCCACTTCTCCCAGTGTCCCATCCAAATGAAAGTGACTTGCATGCCCTGCAGAAGGCACTGTGATATGAAAGCACATTACCGTACATATCTATCGTCACATGAGAAAGCACGAAAAAGATCCGGCCTTTGGTGCTCCGTATTTTTACGCGAACATCAATTCCAAATTCGTTAACATGGGCATTGATTCACAATTGGAAATACGGTATGGTTATAGTGTAGCCTGACATTAACAGTACAGCTTTGGCTCAACTTAGTCGAGTTTTTTTAATAGAGATGTCATGGCAATGTATCACCTTTTATTCTCATGTCATTTTTTTTTTAGTATCACACAACTCTCAGCTCTACAAAACACATCACTCCATCTCGGGCAATAATCTGTTTACAGCTCCATAAAGTTCATGGTCATGCTACGAGGGAAGACTGCCCCCAGCATGGAAATGTGGAATTTCCACCACTGACATGTGACCCCCGCCAACATTGGAGGGTCTCTCCGGATGCTCAATTGAGAGATTTGGGCTTTAACTGAAGACGTGGATTTTATTTTTTGTTCCTTGTGCAATCGTCAGTAACTGAACCGAGACAAGCTGACGGGGAATAAAAAAAAAACTTGCACGTGCATCACCCTACTGGGGCAACAGCTTCATGAGCTGGCTCGGTACCCAGACACAGGCATTAGCCCTCCGAGACAGCCCGGCACACCGTAATCATTTGTCCATGAAGATGACCCTCCGTAACAATGCAGAGCTTGAGTTATTGCACTGCATGGCAACGTGTCCTTCGGCTGTAAACCTCGTTCACCAAATGAGCGTCTGTGAACAGGGGAAATTCAGATTGGCATTCAATGGCATCGATTCATCGGTTAATATCGATGCTTAAGCTCATGATACTTGCGTCGAAAAGCACGCGTAAGAATCTGTATTAGGTGTTTCCATTCAGTCTACAGTATGTTGTATTTAAATCGGATTGTGTGACCGCTGTAGTCAAAGCACTGCTGTATTAAAGTATCCCTACCCCGTGTGGGTTACAAAGTCTGTTTGTGTGATAATACTTCACCACTTTGGTCGGTGGAGGCTGGTTAAGCGGGGGGAAGGTTTGGGGGTGGGGGGGGTGCAGAAGTGTGGGGTGTCCAGGAACGGTTCAGGTATCACTCGCCACCGATGTTAACCGTGAGTGGCAATAGAATTCAGGATGCCGAGTTCACAGGGGCAGTTAACTAACCCACTGCACCTGTAAGCACCAACACGCAGTTTTTATTCGGAGTATTTAAAAATTGTAGAATTGTTCTCTGCAGCATAAGTACGATTTGACTGAACACTTTCAAATTGCATTACAACACTCTTAATTGCATTTTTAAAGTATCGTCTAGATAGCGGGAATTTAAATACAAGTAATTGTATTTGCACATTAAAATAATACAAACTACTCGATACTGTGTTGACCGATTCATTATACAGGAATAATACATTTCACCTCTTTGTCGATCCACTGCTGGATGAAGGCCTTCCCATGCCATGTGAGCCATGCGAGCTGTTTAACTGTAGAGTACGTCACCACACTAGGCTGGTTCGTGTGGGTTGGTCAACGAAACTAAACATTTTATTTTACCAGGTAAGGCCCACTGAGCTATATGGGTCTTTTTCAGAAGCGACCCGGCCACAAATTATCGCTCAACAAAGTGGCTTATCACGTGGAAATGTATAACAGCCAAATACTCTTAAACGCATGTTCATTCTAATGTGGGGGGAAAAACCGGACGACCCGGAGAAAATTCCACACCACCACAGGGAGAGAGACGTGCAAACTCCAACTATCCAGGCGTCAGGGTTGGGTACGACTCATATCCTCCTGCATGCCAGGCGAAGGAGTTAACATCTCGCCACAGTGCCGTAGCCTGGAATCAAACTCGGGGAGTCGAGCTCGGAGCGCTGCGGGATATCCACTGCATCACTGCTTCAACCCTCAAATTTACTGCACTGTGCTGAATAAAGATATTGTTTTTAGTATGCAATTTTTGTGATCATTTGTCATTACAATGGTAATTGTAATGTTTTATGCACCATAAAGACTGTTTAAAAGGTTAACACTGCTTCGTAATGCTAGCGATGGGGAGACTCATTTTCGTCAAATCAAGTGCATCTGCATAAAAGGAGGTCACTCATTCTCCTCTGCTGTTCCTACAGTCTTGCACAGTCGTTTACTTTTCCGTCCTTGGATCTGACTTGCCCTCTGTACATTGATTTTAAACTGTGTTCTCTCTGGATGCTTTATATAAGTACTGTACCTTGCTATGACCCATACACAGAGCGCATCAAAGCCGAATATTTTTGTGTTAATATCTGCTTTATCCTCACCGCACCCTTGTGATGTATTGCCCTGTCACGATTGTGCGGCGTCTTGAGATACCTTAGCATTCTTAAGCTACAGAAAAACCAAGACGAATTGCATCGTAGGGTACTGTATGCTAGGAATTTGGTATTTTCAGCTTTTGCAGATAATCTCGGACACATTTCCGCAGAAATATAATTCAGAAACGTGCCATTTATTGACTTTTAAAACAAATGTGGCCAAATATGGGACCACGTCATCCAATTTTTTACTGCTTTTCACCAAACTTTTTGGGGATTTCCATCGTAAGATATGGTCCAATAAAACCTAGGCTATTGAAACGCAGTTGTTATTGCAACGTCTGCTTCATGTGCTCCCTTTTATTACCGGTTTCTTCACAGTAAATATCACATGCCAATAAGTTTACATCGTTACAACATGGTGCAATGCTTCAGTTTATTTGTTGGGACGTTAATTTTAACAGACTGCTGCTGTATTGTGGATAAAATCGCACTGTGATATTATTTTATACTATTTAGTTTTGGTACTAGAATTTTAATATGAAAAAAAACACATTAATGTCTACGATTTTTATTGACTAAAATTGAGTTAGGGTCGTTGGGTGGCTCAAAAGGTCACAGTGCTGAGCTGGCACACTGAAGATCCTGGGTCCAAGCAAGCAACTTGTAATTAAAACCTGGCTCTCTCATCTACAGTGTTGACAGTCTCGGCATCGTCACGAATCTATGCACACACACAAAAAAGATACGTGAAATACAATTCTTGCATTTAAATTGGCCAAATTCCAGGTCTGAGAATTTTAACAAGATGGGTTTCACTGGCCAAGTGATGAACATTACTCTGAGTGGCAGAGCAAGTGGAAAAGTGCTGCCCCCTATTGCATGGACTGGAGGGCACTTGCAGGCATCTCATGGCACTGTAGTTGTGTGACATTTCCTTTGGCAGATCGTTTTCAAACACCAAGGGTTGCAGTGCTCTGCGAGAGATCAGATCGGAGTTTTATCCAATAACGTGACGCCAAGAACACAATCGTAATAAAACTGGAGGAACGTAAAGCGTGTATATATTTGAACACGTGATTAAAATCGTCGGTTTGTACAAAGAGTGTTGACGTTTTGAGCATAAACGTGGATATGTGCGAGGAATATTGTTCATAGGTTAGCTATATAAAAACCACAGGTGCGCACTCGCGTCTTTTCATTCTTACAGATTGTGCCCAGTAGGCATAGTGATATTTAATATTCTACAACTGGAAGCAATGCTCACTTGTAAAAATGTGTACGTTCACATTTAATAGAATCATTGTCCGAAAATGAGACAGGCTTGTGCAGAAGTGCTCTTATACAACAGACCAAGAGTGCAATAAAAATGTCACCACGATCACGCTTCACAAAGCAAAAATATGGTAGAGTCAAGCAAAGAAAAAGGAATTACCTTTTTTATCAGCTTGTGTAAGGTACGTTATGTAAAAAAACGGAACAACAGGGCTTTCAGCTGCGAGATTTTACATCGTACAAGGTAAGGAAAAAATGGAATTTGCCTTATAGGACGTCCACCCAAGAGATGGAGCAATTAAATTAGCTCGTGTGCAGGCGCTGGGCAGATCTTAGGGAGGCTGTCATAAAGCAGAGCATTGCCCATGATGATGATGATGATGACAGAAGTAAAGAACCTTTACCTATATTGGTGGTGCTGAGGAATTTGGGGAGGTACGCATCGGTAAAAGAAAGCGAGCCGCTGTTTATTTTCCAGGCCGATTTGGACGCCTCAAGAAGTGCGCAATTGAAACGGCTGCTCGCCATCTGCGAGGTGCAAAAGAAATCAATTTGGCTGCGATCTCCATTGGCTTCATCAAGAGAACAATAACGACCATACTCTCATGATTGGCGTGAACATATTTGTACAGTTAGTATGAGTAAAGGTGCACATTATGAATTCACAACCTTCAATTATATACAGCTGAGCTGTATTGTAATTGCAGAAATATTAACCCGTGCGTTGAGCAGTGCGTCATCACCTGCGCGTGGCTTAGGACCAAATACCAGACGTTCTTTTCATGCTGCAGTGAACACCTGAGACATTTTTAATCACCCAATTAGGCCAAAAACAGTACTTTTCATTGTTTTAATGAGGTAAATAAAGCAAAGCCTAATATTTCATTTTAAAAATGGTCATTATGCAGAGCACAACCGTGGCCCACATACTGAAGGCCATTTCAAAGGTGGCGGTAATATTCCGTTAGTAATCTATAAATTAAATATAGGAATTGGCTTTTTTTTCAAACGTGAGAAAGACATCCCCCCCGAGATACAACAGTGTCCTTAAGGAGAAAGGGCATTCGTGCAGACAAGAGACAATATGCCTAGTAGCTAGAGGTTAAAGGGATAAAGAGGTCAGCTCCTTTTTGTGCTCGAAATCAATAATTCAGTGTCAACAGGGAAAAGTAACAGCATTTTAAAGCTGAAGTTTCAAGTCCTTTCGACAGCGGCGAATTAACATATGGTTTGGACGTTACCTGCCAGTCGAAGGCTCACTCAAACGCCGCCGATTGGTATGCAGCAGCAGCAGCAACAACAACGACAGCGGCGTCAACAAAACACCGAGCGAAAATCGCAGCACCGAGAAACCTTAATTGATATGCGCGCATGGGTAACCTCGGCGGGCAGAAATCCAATGCAGATCCTTCAGCATTATTGCAACATAATTGTCCGAGCGAATATAATTAGCCAACTACTCTCAATTAAGCGGAATGTTGGTGGTGGTGGCTGTGGGTGGGTGGGGTACGAAACACCGTTGGATGAAGGCTTTAAGATAAAAATTATTGCCAGCTGCAGAAATGCGGTGACCTTAAACAGCAGGAGGACACCACCACATGAGAGAGAGAGAAGGGAGGGGGGTGTGCAGGGATTCTCTTCCGTTCGCGAGCAGAGCTCCGCACACGCGTGCAAGGCGCGTGGGCAGCCAAGGCTGATCGGACACCCCCAGCGTAACTTACGAGTGCGTGACCATTTGCAAAACAGCAACAAATCCGCCGCTAGAAGGGCCACGGGCAGCGCGAACTGCGCACGTGGGCACGAAGCAGCAAGCAGCGCAAGCGGCGAGCGGGGGGGTCTCCGGAGGCAGTGTTTGAGGCCAGGCTGGTGGTGCCCCCCTGGAAGGAGGCGATTCTTATTCAGGCAAAAGGGGGGGGGGGGGGGCGCGCGAAAGAAGCACGTCCGCTCGAATGGTATTGCCAAACCAGACTCGCCTGCCTCATCGGTTTTGGTGTAAAAAAAAAACATCAACAAAAACAAAAACCTCACAAAACGACTTCTGCCGCGTTTCTGATCGGCTTAGCAATGTGTGCCACTGTCGCTCCGTTTAAATACAAGTAATTACAGAAAACAATATGGTTACCTGGAAAATAGTTAACGCAAATGCAATTACATTATGCATGAAAATGACTTTTGGGGGCAGCTGTCAAACAATGGCAGACAAGCAATATTACACTGCTACACGTTTGTTATTGTACATGTTTATTTTATAGTTATTTTTATTGTAATGTATGTTACAGAAGTGACAATGTCTCCATTACGGCAATGATTTAAACTAAGGAAGACTGCATCAAGCTGTCTTGTGTTTCAGGCAGTCAATGAATCTGCAAAGATGCAATTACTGTATTATTATTTTTTTTTAAAGAGGACCATTTTTATATTGCGATTATGATTTGCTATCTATTTTTTTTCGCTGATTTGTTATTGTTTTTTTCTTTATCGTGACTTGCGCATATATGTCAGAGAAGCGGTGGTGTTGGTTTTTTTTGGTTGATGAAAACCCGATTTAAAACTTCTTGACTCACAGGGTGATTCAAAATCAACTACCACTACTACTAACACATTTCATCGTATACCGCAACATTTTTTTTAAATGCACTCGATTTGAACATTAAAATACATTCTCATGCAACTTCAATCACGGCATATCACAGTTTATTGTACGTCGGCATTTTGAAAGCTGCTAATTAAATAGGACTGCGTTACATAAACACAATCATGCCAAACAGCGGCGCTAATACAGGGACAGACGTCAACGTTGATAAACACACTTAACGAACATAATTTCTATGCATGCCCTCGGCGAGCACAATAGCCCAAAAAAAGGCACGTGTCTCAGCCTCCTATAAATTATGCCCCGAAAACTCTGTCCAGCAAGGAAATCAGCTTTCAAAGGCCGACATTTACAGCCAAACGGTGTGCTTGTTGCAGCCTACAGTTGTAAATCAGGCAACACACAAGGCACGGCACTAAAACATGTTTGAAACATACTACAGTGGCGGTAGGTATATGAAAAACAAATAGCTACCGTACCGCACGTGTGAGTGTGTTAACACTGCACACGGTATGTGCAATATCGTTCAGACCACACACACACACTACAAACAGCGCACACTCATTGATATGTACACACACACGTGGGGCTTCAAGCCAGGAAAAATACGTTGAGAATTTAAGCACTGATTGCATGTAGAATTAATAATACACGCTGTACAACGAAGTATTGCATTATAGTGCACATATAACACCGTAGTATGTGATAATAGTCTGTGGAGCAGGTTATAATCGGTGTCATGTATATGTGCTTAAACATTATGACCAAAAGCCAACAGATATCGGAAGGTTTCGGACGCTCGGCAGGATGTTTTGAGCCTGAACAGCGTTTGGTTTGCGGGACCAACATTGGCTACAGATCGTGGGGTTGTGTGGTGGACAGCAGAGGGGCATTGCTTTTAAAGGGCCATTGTTATACGGTACTCCTCTGCTCCTGCATCTATGGCTGGCCACCTTCACCTATCTGCGCTGTGACCAAACGGGTCAAACAACCCCCCCTCCATGCCCCGAATAGCGTCGGAAGGCCCCTCATCCAGCAGTGGATTGTCTAAGAGACTGCGCATCATACCTGTCAACCCCTTATCAGTGCCCTACCTTATTACAGACCAATTCAGACCTTATTGGTCACCCCGTGCTCTTATAAATCTCAACGTTCATCCCGCAAAGTCCCAGCACAAGGGAGAAACACTAACAAATGGACAAAAATAGGATTTCCCCCCCCCCCCGTATTGAAACGGCTTGTACGCCGTATGGACATAAAAACTAAATTTTCCTGTTCAAGAATACGGGGTAAGCCGTATGGGTTGATACGGTATGGACACGTGCACGCGTATACATCATTATGGTAAACGGCATTCGCGTGTACACACACAGTCCTTTGCGTAAACCTATATCCATAGGCATGTATGTATGTTCAGTTATGGCATAGCTTTTTGGGGGTGTGGGGTATATTTATTTATTTCATCGTGCCAAAGGGGGGGGAAAGCCCTCCCGGTTTTCGCCCGCACGGGATTTCCAGCAACCAGCAACAACAAAAAGAGACGTGCAGGCGAGAGAAGAAGCGACGGATGCTCTTGCACGTAGGAGCACGCAGCCCAGCAGAGCGGAAGACAACGCTGAGTAACAACTGCGAAGCTCTGAAGACGCTGCTGTGTGTGTGCATGTGTGTGCATGTATGCTAACAGCACTGGCCCCAACAGTCTGTTGAGGCTACACGGAGGATCTTTGTCTTTCTGCATGCATGTTATGTATGTGGCGGAGCGGTTAGCACGCTGTGCTACGAACTTGGAGACCCAGGTTCGATTCCCGGTCACGGCCAACACTGGTGACGATGATCTGAACCGTTCCCGGGCCTCACTCAGGTCGACTCAGCCTTAAATGTAAACATCGCCACCGGGGAGACAAAGGCGGCCGGGCGTGGTGCTGGCCACCCACCCCATCGTGTGACATGCCTGCCTTCATAAGTGGCTCGCGAACCACACTTGCCCCAACAGTCTGTTAAGGCTAAACGGGGGCTCTTTGTCTGTATGCACGGCTGGGCAGATGTACAAGCCACGTCTGACAGCTGTCAAGCAGGGACACAACACGGGCATAGCCAGGGCCTCTCTTAAAACGCTGTCAACAGCAGTCATGCCGCGTGTTGGTTTGGTAGCATTTTAAACGAACCATTGCGGCTATTAAGGGCAATGCTGACACACGTGGGATGACAATTTGTGCAATGTGAGGAAGATGACCTCAATAAACACTGCGTCAACAAAACGCATGATTGGTATTAACACAACGGAATGGATCAGTAGAATAGTAACCCAAGCGGAGAATTAACACTCGGAGAAATACAGCAATTAAATACATGTCGAGCAAGGAATACATGAGTCCTCTTAAACTCCAGTGTTTACAACAATAACATTAATAACACAACACTCTTAAGGGCAGTAACGCGCAGGATTAACAGCAACAACATTATGGTGAGTACTAAGAAGAATAAGGGAGCAATTAAAGACAATACTACATTAATAGAACCTCTCGAATGGAGATGTTATATGAATGTACCAATAATAGAGACAATGCAAATAATTCATTGAAGCCAATGTAATTTTCACAATTAAACACGGCCCGTATCCCTAACGTTACACGCTTGGCAATAAGGGAAAAGCCCATAAAAGATGTATCAATAACAATTCTATCAATAATTATACGATAAGGCAGGTATTCGGGACAATTCTGACAGTACTGTAGAGAAAGCAATGCGCTCTTCACTTGCTACGACACACAATGCTTACACGAGCAGTCCACTCTCTGAAATTAAACTAGCCTCTGACAGACTCTCTCAACAATAGTATTTATAATAATAATTACATGTCTCAGTGACGAACCTGCCACAATACTGTATCAATAATGACACACAGCATTGACGATGTAGTGATGCCAGCCTGCTCTTCAATTTCAATGACAAGAGTCTCACGAACATCACAACGAGCTGCACACTGGAACTAGCCTCTTAAACGCGATCTCAACAACACAGATGGTTGACAAAAATAGCAATAGAGTTCTTGGGGACAGGACTAAAATGATGCTGCATTGACACAGGCATGGAAATGACAGCTTCGTCATTATTATTAACAATATTAAAAAAACTACACTGTTTATACGAGCTGTCAGAACACTATACACACAGACCAATAGTTTTAAGAGTATGCGACAATTAACATCTGTATACTTGCTAAGGTCAACACTGATACTAATAATCGAGAGCAGCGCTGCCGCTACATCAATCGGCACACGCAACGGAGCCCCCCCCCCCCCCCCCGGTGTTTTAAGTCCATTTAAAAGCACTGTTATTACAAGCTGTCAAACAGCATACACACATACAAACCAATAGCATTAACAGCACGCGCAACCAGCACAGCAATACAGCTGTTAAGCTCAACACTCGTGCTCATCATAAGAGTTGCTACTGCTTCATCATCAGTGGACAACAAGCGCACGCAGCCACGACGTTTAAAGTCCATTTAAATGCCCCCGCACGCCGGCGGCGAACACGTGCGCGAAGCACGCGTCTCTCCCACAGCCTCCTCCTCGCCTCTCTTCGCCCCGCCGAAGGCTGGCCAACCCGCGAGGAGACGAGACGAGACACGACAGAAGGGAGACGAGCAATAAGAGACGAAGAATGGGAGAGCGACGAGAGTAGAAGAGGGGGTACGAGGTGGGCTATCGAGCCCGACTTCCCATGCCCGGATAGGAGCCACTCAACCCGGCAGCACAACCCAGTCACGACACCCCCCCCCCACCACCTCTACCAACCTCCTAGACTACCCCTGTGCCGGCGGGATCAGGGTGATAGGCAAGCGAGACGCGGCGCCGAGGAAGGGAGAGGTAGCCCGCGTGAGCCCAGGGGTCCGGGGCTAGGAGGGAGGCGAGGAGGGAGGGGGAGACGCGGCGGTAGGGCCTCACCTTCCGGCTTCTTCACAGCCGCCATTTTCACTTCCGAGTTCCGTCGAGAGGCGCGCGCGTGTGACACGGAGCCCCGCCCCCTCTCGTGCCACCACCTCGCCCCCTCGCCCCGCCCACTCGCCCCTAGCCCCGCCCACTTGACTAGAGGCCACGCCCACTTGACTAGAGGCCCCGCCCACTCGACTAGAGGCCACGCCTCTTGCCCAGGCAGGCCACGCCCCTACACAATGTCCAGGGGGGGGGTCCCCCAACACGAGCCACGCCCACTCGCCACTAACCACGCCCACTCGCCCCTCGCCCCGCCCACTCGACTAGAGGCCACGCCTCTTGCCCAGGCAGGCCACGCCCCTACACAATGTCCAGGGGGGGGGTCCCCCGACACGAGCCACGCCCACTGGACCTTCGCCCCGCCCACTCGCCCACTCGCCCCGCCCACCCCAATCCAACCCGCCCCCTTAGGCTGACCACGCCCACTTGAATCGAAGCCCCGCCTACAGCCCGCCCGCGTCTATGGGAACTAAGCCCCGCCCTCTGGCTGATACAAGCCCCGCCCACCTCGTGTTTAGCCACGCCCACCCCCCCACGACCCCCCACGAAGAGGCCCTGGGCAGCCACTGGTCACATTCGTCAAAACACACTCATTGCCTTAGAAGCAAAATATAGCAAAAAGCGACGTTACAGGCAATGAGCCCTCCTTCATACCACGTAAATTGGCAATTGACAGAAGCAGTGTCCATTCTAAAATGTTCAGTTTAAAGCCATATGTTGCTTCAACAACATTATTAATTTTTCTTATATTTAAGTTACATTTTTAAAAATCGGTACATAATGTGCAATAAGTATACACCGCAATCGTCGTGCACAATTTCACCCAGAATTCTTCAACCTGTCACTGTTATCAAGAAGCGTGGGATGTTGACCCCAGATTATGCGCTGCTCAGGTGAAACACAACTCCAGGTGTCTATCCTGGTACACGATGATGCCTGCAGCAAGGGGTTGACTATTGCCAGATTTGAAGCTTTCGTGACTGCAAGGATTCATACTCTTAGGTTTTTTCGGTAAAGTCACGTAGGTAAAAATATAATTAAAATTAATAAAAATAATTTTAATTTTATTTTATAATTAAAATTAATAAAAATAATTGTAATTTAATTTTTTACCTACGTGACTTTACCGAAAAAACCTAAGAGGGTTGACTATTGCCAGATCATGGACTCGTCTTAAGTGAATTGTATACCCCAGTGCTGTAATCATGTAACGTTGGGCGAACGTTAGCATCTGGTTGGAACTATTCGACAAAAGTTATCCCAATGTTCCACACGTCTAACCACGCCAATTGGCATATCGTGAGAATCGATTGTGGGACATGCAACCTAATCTATGGACCGAATAGTAAACCACTATTGTCTACACTCCTTCAACGGAAGAGGAGGAGGAAGAGCAAAACAGCACGAACTCTCCCTCCCTCTCCTGAGGCCCTCTCGTCGTGACCAGCAGACCCCTCGACATTTGGCCATATAGCTCCTGAACATATTGCGCCGTGCGTAAGGCCAGCGTAGAATGGTGAGAATTACTGCAAACAAATTACAGAGGTAATCGACACGTCTCAAGGAGACAATCGCATAAAACAGCATATGGATGAAAATTCTGAAGAAAAAAAAATTACAGGCACAAGTCGATGCGTATTTAATCGATTCATCGCTTTCCATAAATGCATAACGGTAATATAATGATAACATTGGACAAATTCCCAGAGTCACTTCCACTATTGGCCACGTGGCTTCCGTGATAATCGAACTTGCGAGTTTGTTATGAAGAAGGCCATTTCCCAAAACGTCGCCTCTTGCATATATTACAAAATGATCTATTACACTTGGAAATAGGTGGACTCTTCTATGCAAATGAGGTAAGGGAAACGTCGAGATATGTTATTTTTTGTTTTATTTTATTTTTCTACCTACGTGACTTTACCGAAATAACCAAAGAGTAAGAGAATAGAGTCACGGTGAAGTGGACGTGGTCGTTTATCCAACACGGCTTGACGTGGCAGGTTAACGAAACCGAGGTGTTATTTGGCACTGATTTATGTGGCCACACCTTACTTAAAAATTATATGGAAATCAATTGGCCATGTGATATTTACCCTACATAAAGAATATCAGCTGCAATAGCAAAAGCGTTTGTCAGACTCTATAACACATTGAGTGCTGTAATTTAAAATATTGTTCGGACAAGTTACATTTGGCTGTAAATTAATAATGCTATTTATTTGACTGCTGTATAGTAATTGTCGTTATTGCAGTATTGCAGTTAACTGTAGGTGTCAATTCCAAAGGCAACGTTATCTCCATAATGTAATTAGGATTTTATTGAAATGTTGAACTGTATTTCATTAAAGTGGCCATAGACTTGGGTCAGTCTCACGAATCAGGTGTGGATATCCATACAAGGGCATGGTTTTGCAATGAAATAATGAGTAAAAACATGGTTTCGAGATAAGCCTGTAAGGCAGAAATTCGTAAAATATGTTTGAACGTATGGGTTTGTGTTAAGTATACGCTTGACCACTGCAATGACCATGTACTCTTCAATATGATTGACTATACAGCCAACATACACCACGCTAATATATTCTTTCCATTTACAGAATGACATGGCTTACCAAGTGGGCTGGCCAATAAACATAATTAAAGACGATTCATCAGTTCGTCCAACACATCAAGTTGTTCGTCGATCAGCCACCAAACGATTACAGGACAAGTGAAATCCATCAAGACGGAGTGAAATAATGAGGCCACTTCAAGTGGCCATTGCAAATGTATGTCCAGGTAGGCTTGTCACCTGTCCTGGTTTTCATCAGGGCCGTTCTCTTTTTTGTGGCCATTTGTCCTCGGAAATCTCTTTAAGCTTTACTGGAACATTAAACATTAAAAGCTCAATTGCTTTGTCAGTTGCGTAATAATCATATACCACTCAAGACAACGCTTCTCCCTTCTTTGTGTTTTTGTGATATGTGATGAATAGTCCAGTTTTTTGTATCTCAGAGGTGGCAAATCTATTGTGCAGGGTTAATGTATTTTTTTTTAAGCATGCTACTTTTGTGACATACTCATGTCTAAATGACATTCAATCCGCACGCCATGAATCTGATACTGCTTCATGGTTTCTCCATAATAAAACTGATGAACAATGGTGTGGAACCTTTTGGAAGCACTCATAAAGTATTACACAGTTTGTCTTCTTTCGTTATGCCTATGACACAAAATTACGGAACGTTCAATTCCCTTACAAGGGAGACACCTAGTGGCGTTTCAGTAGTTTTCAATGTAATTATATAAACGAACCTTATGGCGGCACCCCGGGGTCCCAAAAGCCTCCGGCTCTCGCAAAAACTGCGTTGCGACGTCATTTTATGTCTGTTGAAGGCGAACGACACGGCAATCTATTCCTCTCGACGAGCTCTACGCAATGCGATCATTAAAGTTTGAAAATTGTGTTTCTTCTGCGCATTCGTCCTTGCTGCTGCGCTTGGACATGACGTGACAACAGAATAATCCACGCCAGGTGGGTCGCGGCGTTTATGTGCGCGGTGGGACGGAGTCACCAAATATACATTCCTGCGGAGGGAGCTGGTAGGAACGTTGGGTTGCTCGGTCAATGGCCAGGGTCAACGGCGGCGTATTCCGCAAATATGCCCCACCCCCACCCAGCCCCCCCAGCCCCTCCCCACCCTCCCTCCGACCAAGCCCCTCCCCACATCCACCCAGCCCCTCCCCACCCTCCCCTCCCCACCCAGCCCCTCCCCACCCTCTCCTCCCCACCCAGCCTCTCCCTGCACGACGGACGGACGGACACAATAATCCCCTGTGTGCTGGTGTAATCAGGAGGTTCCTACCAGTATAAATTCACTCATTACGATTCGGGAACCCGGGGTCCCGCCATAAGGTTCAAATGCAACATTTATGACTAAAAATCTCGAATACATTCAAAACATCATATCCCAATTAGTAAAACTCCAATTACTGTTGGCAAGGTGGTTAAGGTTATAAATACTCGTGGCAGGGTACTAATTTGTAAATTATATATTCAGTTTCAATTTCCGATAACTCATTTCAGCTCACTTTCAGTGATTACTAAGTTAAAGTTTTTAAAAAAAGTTATAATTTCATCTCAGGTATTAAATTTGTAAATTTTTCAAACTGGATTAAATGATTCGTTAAATTCATTTCCGTTATATATTTTTTCATGAATCAGTGATTTCAGCGTCACGTGGCGATAGCTTAATCTTTGACATCTGGTGAGAAAAAAATTATCCTGTTGAACGGTGAGTTTGACGTTCTTCAACGTCATCATTAAAAATTGCACGAAATGTTTACCCCACTCATGAACTGGATTGGTTTATAAAGTGACAGGTTATTGGGGCCGTCCATAATTGACGTCACGCGATTTTGGACGAGTTTTACCCCCCCCCCCCCTTCGTCATACGGCGTCACAAAAGTCAGACCCCCCCCCCTCAAATATGACGTCACAAAGCTCTGCCCCCCTTCCCAAAAAAAGCATGCTTCAAATCGCTTTAAACTATTGTCATTGGGTACTAATTTGTATTGTCATTGTAGTGCGTATTTAATGTGGCGCTACACTTTGATGTTGTAGGAGAAAACATTTATTAAAAAGTGTATTTAATTAAGTAGAACGTGTTGTCTATATTTATTTAAAGTTGCGCATTTTAATGTGACGTCACATTTCTCAAACCCCCCCCTCCTCGTCACACATCGTCACAAATGTCTGACCCCCCCCCTTAGGTGCGTGACGTCATTTATGGACGGCCCCATTCAACATATGAACAGGTTTTTTTAAATACATATACTGTCAATGAGAGGAAAATAATGTTTAACCAAACGGCGTTCGTTCGGAAATACTAAGGTTCACAGCCGGTTGCTTATCAGTAAGCAGCCCGCAGGATGGCCCAAAAGTCAGGACACGGAGTTATTTCAATTAATTTAACACTCGAGAAAAAAATGGTTATTGTTTAGCCTTCAAGACGAGCCTTTTGCCCGTCCAATGAC